TTTTTTTTTTCTTTTTGGAGCTGGATTGTGGGGTTGTTAGAGCTCTAGGAATTGATCAATGAAAAGGTTGATGAATTCTAGATGTTGCTTGAATACATTGAAGAGAAGATGCTTTTATTGTTGAAAAACCAGTGCTCATGGTGCTTCTGAAGGGATTTGAAACTGAATGCTTTGTACCTTTTAAGAGGGTTGGATGCTCAGTAGCCTTTGACCTGTGAGAACTTTAGAGGAAGATTTTCAGTCTATTGATATGTTCTGTCAATCTCCCACGCTATTTGAAATGCTGGCCTTTGTTTTGAATAATTGATAGAAGAAAATTTTAGTGAATATGGAGGCCTATGTTTTATATGTTCCCTACTTTTCTGATAATATGGGTCTGTGATGTGGGAGCATAAAGTTTTTTTTTTTTTTTAATTATTTGTTTTAGTTTGAGTTTTATTTGAAATCTAAGTTCTAATTTTAGGAAAGTCATGTGGATAACATGTGACTTTTAATTAGGATTAGAATGAGTAGTTTATTAGAAGTTCGTGGCTTATTAGGAGTTCAAATTAGAATTGAATTAGGATTCTTGGCCATTGTTAGTTTATATAGTTATTCTTCTTAGAAGCTGTTTTTGTCATGAGACTTTATTTTGAGAATGAACTTGAGGTTGCAAACCTAAGTTTTATTGGTTCCATCTTTAATTTTACGGAGTTCTTAGTCTCTGTTTCTTCTACATTTCTACCCCTATCTTCCCTGCATCAGTCTGCATATTCTTAGGTTTTTTTTTTATACCATATGACCTGAGCCTCTTGTATAGTTTTAACGGTAGTGACCTTTTTTCACTTTGTTTCTTGCATTAATTTGACCAGGGAAGCACATAGATACTAGAGCATGAGCAGATCTGCTGCAGATGAAATGATTCTCAGTTATAATGATGTTGTACTCAGGCAATCAGACTTGGAAATACTTAGTGGTCCATATTTTCTTAATGACAGAATTATTGAGTTCTATTTAAGCTATCTATCTTCGAGCCATCCTTCCCAGGACATCCTATTAGTCTCACCATCTATTGCTTTTTGGATAACAAATTGCATGGACACTGATACTCTCAAAGATTTCATGGAACCCCTTAAGTTGCCTGAGAAGAAACTGATTATTTTTCCTGTTAACAACAACGAAGATGTGAGCCTAGCTGAAGGTGGAAGTCATTGGAGTTTAGTTGCATATTACCGTAGCAGTAATGTCTTTGTGCATCATGACAGCCATAGGCAGATGAATAAGGGGCAGGCTATGAGACTTTTTAAAGCTGTTGTCGGATTTATTACCAGTGATTCTAGTTCATCATGTAATGCCAAGTATCAAGAAGACGTGGATTCGCCACAGCAGATTAATGGTTATGATTGTGGCCTGTATGTTACAGCCACTGCAAGAGCTATATGCAGTTGGTATGAAACCAATGAAAACAAAGATGCAGATAACTTATGGTTTTCTCAAGTAAAGGAACAGGTCACCCCATCAGCTGTTGCTGAAATGAGAAGGGAGATTTTGGGTCTGATTAGAGTTCTTATGGACAAGAAATGATGCATCCCTATGGAGAAAATGGGTTCACAAGCCACAACTAAAGACGATGAGATTTAGTTCATATGGATCTAAGAAGATTTTTATTTTATCTTTGATGACCCGGGGATCACAGGCTAATTTTTAGCATGTGAGGGCAATCTCGTGCAAGGATCTATTTGGAAATGAAATTATTCTAGAATATTGTTTGTTTGCTACTGCCCTTTTAAAAAAGATAAAATAAAATGTGCTGCATCACGAAGTGTGGTTTTTATTTATTTATTTATTTATTTAATTTTAGTTGCACAATGAAGGCAACAATCTCTCATCTTTTATCTCATGTCACTCGTATGTCATGCAACTCAAACTTAAAATATTACTTTCTGTGAACAAAGATAAACATTAAATTATTTAAATAATTGATGTGGTTTTTCTTTATTTACTACTATAAATTGAATTCTATAAATTGAATTCTATGAATTGAATTTTCGGTAAGTTCTTTTTTTTTTATTTATTTTTTTGCCGTCTTTTATCCAAGTGGTTGATCAGGAAAAAAATACATATATATCATAAAGTCGATTATTGTGTGTGGTTGCATATGATTTGTGGCTTTTGGTAGCGAAGTGAGCAAAGCGATTCAGGCCATCAACGGTGTGCGTGGTTCCGGCTTTTTATTGGTTAAATACTAAATTTAGTTCTTAAATTTTTAATTTTAAATAATTTTAACTTTTAAATTATTTTTACATTTTTATTCATCCCTCAACAATGGGAAAAAGCACTTTTGGTCCTTCAATTAGTTTTGTCTATTAAGTTGATGCGGCTCGCATTTTTCTAATCCCTTAACTTTTGTTTTATGCACATTTTCATCTCCAAATGAATATTTTTTTGTATATTTTTAATACACAAATTTCTTTTATACACATTTAACTCATTAAAGTAAATAAAAAAAAATATCAACTAAACTAACTTAATACATGACGAAAGGACAAAAAGCACAATTTTCATTGTTGAAGGATGGAAAAAATGGAAAGATAATTTAAAAACTAAACATATTCAAAATTAAAAATTTAGAAACTAAATTTGACATTCGACCCTTTCTATTTTAGATCTCTTACGAATGACGAAACAGCCATTGTTCATGGGATAAACATGATGACGAGGCTTTCCCCTGAAAAGATCCATTCCCACTTTCCACCCAAAAAAAAGAATGATGCATCCCCACCATTAATCAAATTCACTTCGAGCACTTGATATTGACTCCACTCAAATTTTTGAAGTTTCAATCCAAAGGAAATACAATTCAGTTCTTCTTTTTTTTTTTCTTTCTTTTTTTTTGAAAATTTTTGATGTTACAGGATATGAAAACCTTTTGGAATTTAGAAAATACAAATCAATATGAGGAAAGTAGAGGAGGTACCCGAGCCAACCTATCAAATTCAAATTGATGACCATAGATGGTAGTCTCCAAACTGATTTTCGCAAATTAAGACTAAAAAGTCTTCCATTACATGAAAACCAGAGAAGATAATTCTACAAATTACATGTAAATGACAAAGAGAAGGTGAGACAAAATTGCACCAATTGGAGCATATTGATGCTTATAATATGCTTGCCACTTGATGCCTCCACGAAACCAAGCAGAAACGGCAAAAAGACATGTTAAGGCTAGAATTCAAATGCCTGTTTTTGGTAAATGGCTAAACTTCAAATGCTGCATGCTGTATTGACATATCCATCTTAAGCACTGCATACTCAAGACAGTCCAAGAAGTGCTCAGAATTGATCCAAAAGATTACTTGACTAACTTACAAAAGTGTGAAAGTGTTAAGACAAGTTAATAGCAAACAGTTAAAGGCTCTTATATCTAACATTGGGTAGAGAAGATAATTTCCTCATCAACACATTCAAATATAGGATCCTTACCAAATTATCAACAGCTCATTCATATCATGGTTGTGTCCACTGGATAGCTCCCCAACACTCGCAAGAATGTAGCAAACTCCTGTGAGGAAACATATTCTCTTATCATATATAATTATCATATATAACTAGTACTATTTATTTTAACAAAAAAGTGTTTTGCAGTCCAAAACTAAATTGCAAAACATTAGCCGTTGGATTAACAGGTGGCACCCTGATATTGAGGGAGGGGCCCCTATCCAATGGCAAGGCAGTTGAAGATATAGAGAAATGTACCTTTAGATTCCTGAGGGCGTTTTGTGCCCTTTGATCAGCCATTGAAGCTTCAAAATCCACATAGAAAATCGAGTCAAAGTATCTATCAAAAACCCAAGAAACAATTAAGCAGTCATGTAATCAGTAGACTTATTAAGTTAATGTTGAAATCATACAAATAGCAGATTGATTTATGATTTTTCCTTTTTTGGGGTGGGGTGGGGTGATGAGTGGGGAATCCTGGTGGTTGTAACAAATTTTAACGATGAATATAAGTTGGGAATAAAATGCAGCTGATATTTTCATTAGAATTACCTTGGAACCCTGTTGTTGCAAAAATCAGATGCTCGCACAAGATGGTTTCTCAAGGGGCGACTTTCAATCTGGTTCATGGAAACAAGTAGGAAAAGGCTGTGAATATAACATCAACAATATATCCCAAAAAAAAAGACACTCCCAAGTTTAGGAAACAAATCCAAGGCGAGAACTTACCTTTGTAAGGTTGATTTGCCGCATGGCAAAGCAACTCAGTGCATTGAATAATATACCTGGACCCTCCTCCAATGAGAAAACTATGCTTGTCTGGAAGAAAAAGACATTAATGAGAAAGTAACTATTTTGATATGTAAGCATGGATAAAAGAAGCAGAGTGATTGAACCATGAGTTTTTGAGATGCAAATAACTTTTACATCATTGAAGGGCTAACCTTGAAAGGCTTCTCAATACCAGGAATAATGGGCTCCCGGGCCAACATTAGAAAACGAGTAACATTGTCACACTCATCCTACAGAAAAAGGAAGTCACAGGAGAGAACATTATGATGGCTATCCAACACCAAGCCGAGTTAATTAACAGTATTAAGATTTTGGAGTACTAACCTGAATATCTTTAGCAAGTATGTTCAGATCATATATTGTTGCAGCAGCAGCACTGGCAACAGCTCCTGCATCTTTTAGTTTATTGGAAGCTACAAACTACAAGTTTGTGGCAATACCAAACAAAATAGATATACAAACAAAGAAATATAAACTTCTGATCAGTTTAAATATAATCACTGAATTCAAATAATCAGATATCTTGACTACATACAGAAAAGAGAAAGGGATGTTATCAACTACTTCCACAATTTTGCAGATTCAAGGTTTTTTTTTTTTTATTATTTATTCAAACTAAATTGTCTCATTCACACACAATCAAACATTACTTCCAATCAACTAAGTTAAGGCATACCTTTGCTGCACCAGCAGTGTCATCCATGGCTTCTCTGACCAATCCCAACTTTGTCAATGTGTTCTCACATTGAGCAAGGGCCTGCCAGAAGAATCAAGGATAGAATAGATAGAATGAGAAGTGAATGGTAAACTGAGTCAATTAGCATGTTATTATGCACCTGAGGATGGCTAAGAACCCTTGTCAAGTCTTGAACTTTAACACCATGGTTGGCTAGTAAGCAATGACGAACTGCAAGTTTCACTTCCCCAACAATATGCAAACTGTGCCTGAGTAACAGGTCATAGTTTCTGTGGATACTGCCACCTAAGGAATTCTCAATTGGTAAAACTGCTCTGTCCACAATCCACGATTCAACAGCCTGCAAGAGAGAAAGTGATGATTCCAAAATGCTCATGTTTTCAAAACTAGACTTATTTCCATCAATAAACGAATTACATTAATGGCTACTCAATCCTATATAGAACCCAAAATAGACCTTATTTGTAAGTGAACCCAGAAATAAAACAGGGAAATTTCAAGACTTGTGACATTGTGTGATAAATTCACAAAAAAAAAGTATAAAGACCTTCCATGCTCCCCCATAATTCAGCAACTAAGATGCAACCCTAACCAAAAAATGCAAAACCATCACAGTCCAAAATCACTTCACATGATAAATCCACAGTTACACATTACCATTAAGGCAATAACTAATTAGGACGATGTCAGGTGTCATCTTTCATTTTCAAAACAAAATGGCCGAATCAACCATTTAGAAAAAGGAAAAGGAAAAAAAAAAAAGGGGTCAAGCACTTACTTCAAAAGCGGTATCAAATTGTTCGCAAGGAACAGCTTCACAATTGGGATATGCCTTATCTGCAGCTGACTCACTATATGCTCCACGAACTCCCTACAAAATTCAACAAACGAAACAGTACCATAAAATCAATATGAATAGTCTCTTAAAGTAAAATGGATAATCTTATCCACATTCGTGTATAACCTGGTATGCAACACGAAGGCGAGAACCTTCGTGGACGGAAACGGAGCTCCGGCTAGAAGATAACGGCTCTAAAAAAATCACACAAAACCCAAAATTAACTTGAGCAATGGAACCAAAAAGTAACATTCAAAAACAAGACATAAAGGAAACGAGGATTACATACTGGGAAGGAGAGGTGAATCTCTGGGTGAAACCTCGAGCGCGGTTTCTTCTAGAATCGTCCGCAACTCAAGCGACGGCGTGTTGTTGATCTTGCCTCCAGATGAGTGGTTGTTGTTGTTGTTGTTGTTGTCCTTGCCACCTCTGTCTTCAAGGAGGGTAGCGAAAACAGGGGCTACAACACGGTGGTTCGGATAAAGCTGGCGAATTCTGATGAATATCGGCGATTTGTGATCGGACGGCGAGGGATTGCCGGTGATTTTGCCAGCTAGGGGGCTAAGTGGGGATCGAACAACCGTGGATCCCATTGATGCGTCACCGTCGGTTCGAGTGAGAGAAGAAAGGCGGGCAGTTTCAGCAATGGGAAATGAAGCCTGCCAAAAAAAACGAATCTTTTTTCGGCTAAAAATAAGGGGTCTGTATAACCCTTAATTATTTAATTATATAGGAGCGAGGCAGCGGAA